TGACAAATCTAAAAAGCGTTAGTATGCAATATTAAAGGAAACAGCAAAATGAATGATAAGGTACATACCTATTCCATAGACGCCACGCGCGTTCTCGCTCGGCTTTGGTCTTCTTACAAAGCGAACGCTCATGTGGTGTTACCGTAAATTCGTCGACGTCGGCAAATGCTCTTCTTTTCCGTTCTTCGTCGTCGGGTACAGTCGGCGGTATCGGCGGTTTTTGTAGCTCCATCCCTTCCATATTGCATATGGATGGAGTGTGATCGGCACCGTGAGACTCGAACAATACCCTCTCAAGCTGCAATAGCTAACGAGCTCAGTATGTTTGGGAGGAGAAATTCATTAGAAACTCGGAAGGAGGGTTTCATATGAAAAACCAACGCAACCCTCGCAACGTAGGGGCCGTAATTCATGCGGTAGAATCAACTTGGAAGAATGGATATACAGTGAATGCAATGAGAATGGGACAAAAGTGTGCTTGTTTGGTTCAGTCGGGAATCCGAGGGTAAAGACACAATTTATATCTTGAGGTCCTTCTAACTCGCCTGAAGCGACATACGCACGGAGAACCCTTCCAACAACCACACCTTCCAACAACCAGACCTTCCAACAACCACACATTCCAACAACCACACCTTCCAACAACCACACCTTCCAACAACCACACCTTCCAAAAGCCAACCACACTTCCCAAAAGCTAACCACACCTCCCAGTTAGAAGTACCAAGTATATAGAGTAGGTGTCAGGGGTAAATGACAGGGGTAAGCACCTTGTGTAGTGTATGCCTAGCCCACTCACAACAATCTTACCCATCTTCCTCCTACAACCAAAAGTCTTGGCGCCAAGTGTTAGTGTTAACGCTAGGCTGCCTGCAAAACCTTTAACACCACCAAAATCGCCGTTTTTACGGTCGATACCCCAACAACCGCAGCGACGAAATGTCTACGCCTTCGCCCTCTGGGGCCCCCAAACCACCGCCACCGGCCATACTACCGGTTACTCCTTTGCCGGACATCTTTTGCGTCCCGCCCCCGCCCTCCACGACGGCGCAGTCGGCCAAGAGAGCCCGGACTGCAGACGAGGAAGTCCGTCACGCCCACGATACCACCGCCACCCCTGCTGCTTCCGGCCCCATCAAATCCTTGACCGAGACCCTCATCTCTGAAGCTCTCGCCAAAACGGAGGTCTACCGCTTCTTCGCCGCCTTCCTTGACACCGAACTCCCCCGTCTCTCCGCCGTCTCGCCCTCCAGCGCCCACGTCCAAGGACAGGGCTGCCAATGATTTCAAAGAATGGCTTCTCCAGCTAGATCCCTCGGAGATCGTCGTTTACCGACGGCTCTATGATAGCCAAGCAGATGGGCTTTCCAGCGCACGCGGAGGACCCGGACGCTGAAGAAGAAAGCCCAGAGGGCGAGTGCGTAGGCTTTGGCTACGTAATCTTCCAGGGACAGACAGAACTGGGCCGCGGATGCGGTCAACTAGAACATGCCGAAGTCTTCGATGCGGAGGCCGAAGGGGCGCGGCATGGTCTCAAGGCCGCTGTGGCGCTCTTTCCGGAGGCACAGGCCCGGCCACGCATTACGGTATGTCTCGATAACACGTCCGTCATTAGAGGACTCCGGGGAACCCCAGCTGCGTCGTCACAAGCGGCTTTCCTTGACTTCCGCGCCACCCGCATGGGCTATGGCCCCAGTCTGGTGGACGTCCGCTGGGTTCCTGGCCACAAGGGCATCACGGGCAACGAGATTGCTGACGAGCTCGCTAAGGCGGGTGCTGAGGGAGGAGAGGTAGTCAATGAAGGCTTGGCTACCACTGCGCATTCAAGACGGCTTGCTAAGAGGAAGGCGCGTACGGATTTCAAGGCATGGTGGGCCGCGAACAAGCCAGAGTCTTATGCAGACTACCGGTTGGGGGTCTCTATCAAGCCTAACGAGGAACTAAAAGAACTGGACAGACGGTCTTTACACCACCTCCTCGCAGCCAGGTCTGGCCACGGTGATTTCAAGGACTATCATGTAAGGCTCGAGCATGAGGACGCGCTGCTGACATGCTGTTGTGGCAGCTGGAAGACCCCCTTCCATCCCTTCCACTGCAGGAAGGCATATGCTGTTTCCCCGGTCACAGGCGAAGCGGCTACGCGGAAGAATCTCTCTCTTGCCATTGGGGTTTACTGGCAGCACTTCATCGCTAGG